ATCTGGAGTACTGTGTCCAGTTCTGGGCTCCCCAGTTCAAGAAAGACAGGGAACTACAGGAGAGAGTCCAGCGGAGGGCTACAAAGATGATGAGGGGACTGGAGCATCTCTTGTATGAGGAAAGGCTGAGAGAGCTGGGGCTGTTTAGCCTGGAGAAGAGAAGACTGAGAGGGGATCTCATCAATACCTATAAATATCTAAAGAGCAAGTGTCAAGAGGATGGGGCCAGACTCTTTTCAGTGGTGACCAGAGACAGGACAAGGGGCAATGGGCACAAACTGGAACATGGGAAGTTCCATGCGAACATGAGGAAAAACTTCTGTACTGTGAGAGTGACCAAGTACTGGGACAGGCTGCCCAGAGAGGTTGTAGAGTCTCCTTCTCTGGAGATACTCAATACTTGCCTGGATGTGATCCTGTGCAACCTGCTCTAGGTGATCCTGCTTCAGCAGGGGGATTAGGCTAGATGATCTCCAGAGGTCCCTTCCAACCCCTACCATTCTGTGATTTTGCTTTGGGCAGAGGAAGTGTAGCTGGAAACACTCCCCTCAGTGTAAATGGACTCATCCCATTCAAATTAGTTAAACAGGACTTGCCCTCTGCGAATCCATGTGGACTGTGCCTGATGATATTATTTTTTAAATGCGTTTCAATAGCACCCAGTATAGTCTTTCTCCATAATTTTTCCAGAAGCTGAGGTTAGACTAACAGGTCTGTAGTTCTCTGGGTCTTCTCTCACATCCTTTTTGTAAACTGGAACAATGCTGGCTAACTTCCAGTCAGCAGGGACCTCCCCAGACTCCGAAGACCTTTGGGAGATGATCAAGAGGGGTCCTGCCATAACACCTGCTAGCTCCTTCAGTACTCTGGGATTAATCCCACCAGGCCCCATGGACTTGTGAATATTCAGCTGGTCTCTTACAACTTCATTGTCCACAAATGGAAAGTCACTGTTCCCACACTCGTGGTCCTCAGATTCAGGGAACTGGGCAGCTCAAGGTCTATTGGTATTATTAAAACCTAAGGTAAAAAACCCCCACTGAATGCCTCCGCTTTTTCTTCATCACTATTAGTCAGATGACTTTTTTCAACAAGTATCAGTCCAATGACTTCTTCAGACCTCCTCTTATTATTAATATACTTTTAAAAAGCCCTCCTTGTTATCTGAAACAACACTAGCCAGTTTCAACTTTAACTGAAATTTGGCCTTTCCTGTCTTCTCCCTGCATATACAAACCACAGCTCTAATCTTCCTGTGAAGCCTGACCTCACTTCCAGAGATCATAGAATTTCTTTTTCTTCTTGAGTGCCATGAGGAGTTCCCTGTTCAGCCAAGTTGGTCTTCTGCCCCACTTGCTTGACAATATGGAGCCCTAATTCTTATTTCCCAATTTATTTTAAAGTCCTGTTCCCTACTGAGCTGGCCTTCGTTGTTTTTCAGGCTTTACATGATAGGGCGAGTAAATGAAATTTAAAAATTGTTTAACATCTGTGTGAAAGTAACCATTTATCATTCTCCACTGGCAAAAACACTTTTTAGACAATGTCAGAAAAATCTAAAAATAACGGCTCTTGGATGAAAATGGCTCAAATTACAGCAAAACATAAGAAATTGCTTTAAGAAATTGATTTATTTCTTTTAAATTAAACCTCATTGAAATAATAAAAAATTTTGGGTTGTGTTTAAATTCACGTAGAACTTGCCAAGTTTGCACCTGAAAATATTATCTTTAAAGCATCAGCTTTAAATTGAGCCAGAACACTTGGTGTCTTGCTCAGAGGAAGTCTATCATAAGTCTACTTCATGTGGCCAATATTTTGGTTTAGTCACTGCTTTTGAAGCCAATTATAAAGAAAACGCAGATTTTCAAAGACACAGAGAACAATTACCCAATTGATCTTTGAAAAGCACAGATCCTATGTCCACTTTCATGCGTTCAATGCATGCAAGATGAGATCATTCTGACATACCTTCACTCCTCAAAACTGACGACTAAACAACCAAACAGCCAAGACAGCCACAGCTTTCCTTCAACATCATCTGCTTTAAGAGTAATACAAAGCTCTTAAGCAGCTATATGAGATCTTGGAATAGAGTAACTGCCCCACTACCCCATAAGCATTATTTGAGTACTTGCCCCTACTATTTGACTTCCACTGTCACATCTGTGTATCCAAGAACCGTATCAGACAATTTCATGGAACAAAAACTGGACGTCCCTGTGAAACCATGCATTTGACTGAAAGACACTCCACAAACCTCTCCTCAAATACCTAATAGAGAGTCCATGGCTAGTGAGCTCAGAAGGCAAGGCTCTTAAACTATGGGCGTGGAAGAAGACACAATACTATATACCCAATCCAGAAAAGCCAAAACTGTCTAGTCAAGCTCTGAATGACACGCAGAACTTCTTGAAGTTCGTGGTTATTGTATCATTAACTTTAATTGACCTTTAGTAAAAAAAGACATCTCCCCTCAACCATATTTCAATATGGGCTGCCAAGCATACTTTTCTCCTTTACCAGACACCCGATCCAAAGCTTCGTCAAGCTAATAGCGATACTGCTGTCCAGTTTCTTTTCATTCAAAGCAGCAAAACATTAGCTGCCTTCTTCCATGAGCACTCTAAGTTTCATTGAAATCACACTCTATTCTCAGCACACTAACATGCTATTTACCCGGACCTGAATTAAAAACACTTGACACTAGCTGCTGCTGTTTAGAATAAAGCCACATCTACTGTCGGAGTAGAAAGTATTTAATCATCGCTGGCAGGTCTGCCTAAAGAACAAACTTGTGTTGATCTCAGAAAAAAACACAGGCTGGCCATATTTCATTAATATTTCAAAACACCCTTTTAACCACCAAAAGATCTTAGAGAGCTCTCAAGTAATTTAGAGCCATAAAATGGTTTGGGTTGGAAGGGACCTTTTAAAGACTGTCTAGTCCAACCCCCCTGCCAGCGGTAGGGACATCTTTCACTAGGTCACGTTGCTCAAAGCAACTTGCAATGATGGGGCATCCACAACTTCCCTGGGCAACCTGTTCCAGTGTCTCAGGATTTAAACCAGGATTATCCTATTTCAAATATAAGGAGGGGTTTTTTTCTCTAAAAGATGGGTCAAACTACATTTGACAGCCAATAGGGACAAAATAAGCATATTATTTGTCCTTGTTACTTAAGGCATCAAAAACATACAGCTGAAGCAGCAAGACAATTCAAACAGAAGCTGTACCATGCTCTCTGAATAGCCACAAACTGTACTGAGTTCAACAAGACATCAAGGAATAAGCAGTAAGAATGTAACTATCAAAAGGTACAGGTCTATTGTTAAACTGGATCTTGTAAGCAAACGTGAAAACCCTTATCCTCAAGGTTTTAGACCACAAGGAGAAAACTACACTAAGGATCAAAGAGATGAAAAGCAACAAAATAAATGTTCATCAGCAAAAAAGATTATACTAAAAGAACAGAAATGCAAACATGAAAGAAATGTGTTGTAAATTAAGCAGTGCAAAGAAAACATGGAAGTGTTCTAGGGCTGAAATCACCCAGTTGAAAGAACAGACGAGCAGCTGTTCTGAGGGGTGGGAGCGGGAAGAAACATTTGACAGTGTTGGGTTACTAAACTTGCTGACTCCAATGGTAAAATAGGATACAAAAAGAAGTTTGTATTGAAATAGTGGAACATAAGAGTCAATGAAGGAGCAGGACAATTCAGAACCTGCAGTTTTAAATGGATCTCAAGATAGAAAGGTTACTGCAATTACAGCTATGAAGAAAACAGATGTGGCAGCAGTTAAGATTAAATCTTTTGAATAAGAGATTCAGCTGCAGAAGTACTATTTTTACTGGACTGGACTGAGAATTATAATTGTTTGCTATCTGTAAGAAGAGGAATTAAAGGCTGAAAAAGGTCTACTTCAAGACACAGACAGCAAGCAGTAAATTGAACACTACTACTTTCAGAAATGTGAATGGAAAGCTATAACCATTAAAAACAACTCATCCAACAAATGTAGTGTGCCTGCCCAGCAACATTAGTGGAAAAAATAATAGGCATTAACAAGTCACTATGATAATAAATACTGCAATGAGAACAGGCCAGAGGTTCTACAAATCTAAAATCTGTCCTCAATAATAAAAATACATGCAAATTTAAAAGTTGGCCACTGCACATTAGCCCTCAAATTTAATAATAAATTACTTTCAAACGTAGTAATACAAAACTAATCAAATTCCCCACTTCCACAGAAACTCTGTGGAATGACAAATAGAATAAGAGTACTGTAGAATAAAGGGAGTACCAGCTGTTATACTGAGTTTCTCCAAGTGATGGAGACACTCTGAAATGGTAGAAGGTAAAAAAAAAAAAAATCACACCTATTCAAACAGAGAGCTAGCACCAGCTACCCTTCAGAGATAAGAAATAACCCTGAAAAAATCATAGAAGTCATTGTAACAATGACTACAAGACATATTTATAGAGTCCAATGCTTTGTTTCCACCTGTCACAGACTTTGTATTTGGACAAAATTGTCAATATATCAGTTTCTATTAACATGGAGACCAACTTCTCCCTGCCAAAACTCACTATTCTGTACAGATGTAGTTTCTCTGCACAGCTAGCAGCAACAAGGTACTTTCAAGATATTAAAGTCCTTCACAATAAATACTACAGTAAACCAAGGAACAAAACTTGTCAGATCCTCAGGTCATCAGAAAATCAAGTTATTGCTTGCAAGATACAAGCCAAAAATACCACCAAACCACCAAAACCCAAAACGTATGCACACAAGCACTGTAGGTTAATACATTTGAAGTTACTCTTTTTGAGGGCTTTTATGATTTTGCCTTTAAACAATGCAGAGATTACATGTTTTAAGTACATGTATTAGTTTTATTTGCCAAATAATTTCATGAACTTGTCAGTAAAAAACTCATATTAATAGAAAAAGCACATGTTTCAAATATATAGAAAGTATAAGAAGCGTTTACCTTAAGTTTGAATTCAAGCTGTGGTAGAACGGAAAGCAAGAGGTGACTGTCAATATTGTATAACTCCAGAATCAAGTCAAACACATGCTCTGACAGGTCACTAATTGATGTTTTACCAAGCATGAGGACCTGATTGAAGAACTGGAAAATAAAACAGAGTATACATCAGTAACAAGAGTATATATATACACACTCTTCTAAATACTATGCTTGCCTACCACTAAATCTACCTTTGAATCTTACAACATTTATTTCACTACAATAAAAAAAGGGAGGTTGCGCATAAATCAGGATTCTGTAGTAGAAATCTTAAAATATCATTGTTTTATATTCAATATTACACATAAAGGAAAAAGCGTAAGTGATGTTTAGTTTACCACAGCAAGAATACAAATACTTTAAGAAACACAATTTTAGAGGAGTTCCAGTGCATCATATCTTTTTATAATGTGACTATATTTAGTTATTTCACTATTGAGAACAATCACTTTAAAAGCATTCTAACATTTAGTCAAAACAAGAGTTGAAACAACTGCTTAATTACTACACTATGCAGTTGACAGGTTAAGGAGTTGTAAGAGCATAGGAATTAATAATTGACTGTTCCAGAATTTATATTTACAAGCAGCATAATGCAGCTGTAAAGCAATTATTCTTTCTTGGTAAACTTGACAGGTTTGAGGGAAACTTCATACTTCTCATTAGAGAAAGCATTTTCTAATATCAAATATTAATTCTACACTACTTTCAACTATATCCTCTCATAATAGGTAGGTAAGAAGTAACAAAATAGGAGTATACTACCCCCTACTCATAAGGGTGGGGGAAGGACATAATTTGGAAAATTTTTCTTCTCTTTGGGTTAAAACAATACACAAGAGTAACTAAACAAATCACACTATTTCCATCTGCCACTAAGGCAAGAGAATACACTTAACTGCCACTTCAGTTTCCTATTCCCAAACTTGGGAAGAGATGAACATCATGACCCTCTGTTACCTGATGAGGTTAATCATATCAGTAAAGAAACAAAAAACATTACAACCTTAAAAAGTGGTAGTTTTCAAGTGAACCCCAACAAGTGATGCAATAGAAAAAGTCAACAGTTTCTAGTAATAACGACTAGAAAATAATAGATAAGCCCATTTCATTAGAAGTTAAAAGACACCATACTGTCTTGCAGAAAAGTTTCCCTTTTCTGGATACAGATTTGCTTGGCATGAATATACTCCTGGTTAGGCAATAACTCCTACTGTGTCTTTAATATATTTTAAGAAAGAAAGTAACTTTCAAAACAAAGAAACCAGACAGCATAATATTTCCCACTTGTGGGAAACCAAGAACAGAAGACTGCATGTACATATTTTCTATCAGAGGAAGATTCTTATTGTACTGACTTCCTTAAAACCCACAAAATGTCACCCAGTTTGTAATCTACCTTTACAAATAAACAACATTAAAAACACATTCCCATGCAGCAATTCCTACCAAACAGCAGGTTTGACTAACAGGTTTGGAGTAAGAGTTTTCACTGAAGATTTTTTTAAATCTCAGAAGGTACCCACTTTCCAAGTACCACAAGCGTTACAAGTCTGAAAGCAACAAAAAACATTGAACATTTTCTATTGTTTTCAATCTCTTGAGGTTTTGGATAGCTGCCATGAGACCTGCTAAATCCTTAACTATTTTTTAAAAAGTTGTTTGTTTTTTTTCTATTGTGCAGCTTAATTTAGAACATACTCCTGTCTGATCTTTACTTCCTCTCATCCCTCTTCTCTTGCAATGTCTATGATGTCTACACTCAACTTGGCTACAACCCTCAATCCACTTGCTGATTTTCTTCCTTACAATCTATTCTTAGATTCTGTTTCCTCTTCTTGTCCTGTGACAACAGCATTAAAATTCTGCTCTATCCACTTCTAGCTTCTAAATAGTCTCATCTCTTCACTAGAAGAGTAATTTTGTCACAGAAACAATGTAGTTACACAATTTTATCGGAACAGTACATGTAAGTACATTTGGTCTTCCAGTCACATTAAGAACTGAAGTGTAAGGTCTCCCAAAACAGCAGAAAGTAAACTATCCATTAAACTTCAGAAATCAAAATTGTTATAGACTTAGTAGTTTCTATATGGTAAGGCATTAGACTCAAAGGGACAGGTTATACAGTGCTTCATTAATACAACACTTCTCTCAAAGAACAACTGAGAGCTTGTAAAAAGTTATTTTACAGCCCTATTTGACTATATGCAATTCATTCTTTTTATAATACAGCTCAGTTAAAAAAATGTAGTGATTTCCATATCTGTTTGCAGTCTTCACTTACATTAGTAATGTATGGTTCAATTGCTTGTGCTGTCCTCTTTAGTAAAGCCTTTGCCAAATCATAGGCTTGCTTGTTTAAATTCTGGTGGGGGAAAAAAAAAGAAAAAATTAAGCACATGCATTAATCTTAAAATTAAATACGAGAATTTAAAGCTACCATGCACTGGTAAATGTATTAAAGAAATAGCCTGTTCTTTTTATACTTTCAGTAGTAAAGATAACATAGTAAAAACAAACCTAGTCCAAACAGAGCTTTGTAGTCTCCACTAATATTACTCAGAAAACTCTTTCCTCACAAATCAGGGCTTACTTTTCAGTTGCCTAAGCCTGACACTCAGTGAAGTCAGTTTCTGCATTTTACTGCTGCTATCAGCTTCCCCAAAAAAAACAGGAAAGCAACATAAAGCAACATTAAGGTATTTACAATCACCACAGAAGCAAGACTCCAAACACGATTTTGGTAGAAAGTAGAATTCTGTGCCTGCATCAAGCAGCCACCTATGAACAACCGTCACAGTCTCTCCCAAGTATCACCCAAGATACTCAGTCTGGTTGACTGAGACAGTAAGGAAAAAAAAATACCTAGAATTTTAGTCCGTGAGCAAAAGAGTGAAAAATGCAAACTAATGAAACTAACACAAAAAAATAAAAACCCCATCATCCCACAACATTCCTATTCCTCCATTTAATTGGGTTATTGCGCTATCGTTGTTTCCTTCCTTTCCCAGCATGTACTCTCACCATCTAGTTGCTATGTCCTGTCCTTTCTCCAATTTCTGTATCACAATTATTTTTCAAAAATATTCAGAACAAAATGCAACTCAGTTCTTGTGACACCCTCTGTAGACTCGATTAACACATAGAAGAAAGAAGTAGAAGTCTTTAAAAGACTATATTTTTTTGGATTCAAGATTGTTAAAGTTTCTGTAAAAATAGAGTTCCCTCAGTTTTGATCAGTCTTTGCAATTTAAAAAAACCTCAGCATATTCCATTTACAAGACAACAGTATAAAGGGGAGTTTGTGGTTGTTTTTTTAAATACATCTCATCCACAAAAAGAAACAAATTTTCTTTTAGCATAACGAAAAGCAAACACAAGATGCATTGCCACTCTCAGGGTATGTCTCTGCCTGCATATGCTTGGTTCTTTGCAGCTATCTGAATGAAAGAGGGAAAATTTGCAAAGAGATGGAGAGTATCGTCTGTAATTTCAAAAACTGTGTAAAACTATAGGGTTCTAGACAGCAGTGGGAACATATTAACATTTCCAATAATATAAAACAAAAGTAGTCTTTCACTTGCCGCGTGATATAATTAAGTTAGGTGACTGAAGTCAAAAGACTATGAAGATTCATGCCTGAAGTATCTACTTTACTCAGAGCCACTAAAGAAGGTGAATAAGAATCCCAATTCTGGAAAGGTACTCAAATGCTGACATAAGATGCTAACATCCTTGTAATTCCCTCTTCTCTTATCTAATCAAGATACAAGGGTCAACACTGGCAGTCTTTTTACAAAATTGTACAGCTGTTCCATGTCCCAGAAGAAAGAAGGTTCTGCATGCTAGATTGCTCTTTATGGTTAATTAAAAAAAACTGAAAAGCAAACATTTGCACCTGTAGCATTTGTTTTCTGTTATTTAGCTACAGTTGTGACTGTTCAGAAAATGAAAGGCACAAATAACCATAACAAGGAATGTATGCCACTTCCAATTCTTCTGTGATCCTTCTTGACTTCCACAGTTTACCTCCACCAAAACAAAGAAAACTGCTTTCACCTAGGTAAGAGTGAACTCTAGATCATGAGCAAGAGCTGATTTACATATAAAACAAGTCCGAACAGCAGACCTAGCACAGCAGTTTCAACAGGCAGATCTGTTTTGATTCACATTAAATACAATTTCAGGTTGTATCTTTACACAGCAGTTCATTTTAAAAAAGCTGCCGTAATGCATCTACACAGCTAGTAATAGCTGAAGTTTTAAAAAATAAACATAAATTCTTGCACATAACCTTAGGAAAGGAAGTCTGAAAGAACAGAGATCTTTCAGAATTAAGCCACTAAAGGCCAGGCAAAAGATCTCCTAACACATTAACATTTGCTGAGATAAGTGCTAGAAGTAGCTATTTGCAACCCTGAGTAACATATTCACATTGCACTTCATTCTAGCTAAAAAAGCTGCAAAGAGAAAAAACAGTCTAGATCACAACTGGCTAAGGAAAGTCAGTTATTTCTTTCATGCCTCATGTTCTTGATTTAATTCTACTGATAGCTAGGGCCCTCAAATGTCCAGAGACCAAACTTTCTGAAAATAACAATGCAAAAAAAGTCTTAGAAGCACATAAGAAAGTTTTCTTCTCCCTTTTCCAGCTTAAGGATAAAAGCAGAAACAAGAAAAAGTGGTACTGCCTTAGGTGAAAACAGGAGCAAACCAGGCCATTACCAAATAGGTTCAGAGATCTTTTACAAAAGATCAAACCTGACTAATTTAATAGCCACAAAGATATTTTAAACTTTGCCTGAAAGAGAAATTTTATAAGGGTAAGGCCTAATTTAACAAATGTCTTCTCTGTGTTTATCTAAACTCTTCTATCGTTATCCTCTGTTCAACCTTTCTATACATTCAAAAAAATTGACAGGTATTTCAAGATCTTTTAATGATTTAAGAAAGCTCTCACTGATGGGGACAATCACCTTAATCAGGATGCCTCCAAGAGCATGTAAGCACTCAGTGGCAATAAGCTTTCCAGAGTCCTGAATTGGGTGGGAACTAAGCCATCAGCTGGCAACACTGTTTAATTAGTAATTACTACATTTGGAAGCAAAAAAAGCAGAAATAAGTATTCATTGATAAGGACGAACCAAAGAAGAACCCATGAAAAGGCAGAACACAGATCTCCCGCAAGGTAACTGAGAAGTTACATTTAACATCTAAGACAGACTTATAGGATGCTACAGATAGACCTTTTCCCCAAAAAAATCTCCAGTTTTCCTTCAGAAAAGAATGTTAACAGAGGTGAACATTACTTATTTATGCTTAGAAAGCCTTCAGCAATAATATTAGAAGACTAACCATCTTTGTCAACCATAAGTTCTCTCCTTTGTCTCAATTCCCACCGTGATTTTTGTGTATACACTGCTAGCATTTCAAGCTTTTTACACCTCTGGATGACACTAAGAGTTTCACCAACTCGGTTTTCATACCTGTTCTTCTCTAGAATGTTTGACAAACTTCTACTGCAGACACAAGAAGCGATGGCAAGCTCTCTGACAGCAAAGCACAGACATTTTTGTGTCTATAGAGACAATGTTTTCCAGGACAGTTTGCCACAGAGCCAAAAATCAGTTTTACTGCTACAACAGGGTTGGCAGTGAGAGAAATGCATACCCACTGCTGGTTTTTTTTTCCTTGAGTTACTTTTTCCAGTTGCCATTCAACGTCCAATTTAACACACCTCAAAGAAACTAAGAATGAAATAATTTGTACTCATCCTTTGAAAGAAAAAAAAACCCAAACCACAATAGAAAACAAATGCATGATGCATGTCCCTTATTTTTTCTTTAAAAAGGCAGCTAGCACCAATCTAGTCCTTAATTTTATAACTTCAGGAGTAAAATCAAATGTGAAGTCTCTATTTAGAGCAAATATTCTTAAAAACATACATTCTAACATATTATTTTCTTGGCATTTGAAAAAGGTCTTAAATTTCATTATTATCAACGGCAGAACAGCAGAATTTGTATCCAAGAACACTTGACAAAACAGTTTTAACAGATTCTCTATTTCTGCTCGAGGAGGGAAACTGTTTTTTAAGGATGGCTGACAAAGAAAAAGCTCAGCTGAAGTGTTGCCAAGATAACTAACACTAATTATTAAGCAAGTTCCTAGTAAAGAAAGTTAAGAATTTAATTGTCAATATTACTTCTTCGAAAAGATAAGCATGTAAAGCATGCGGAATGTGCAATGTGAGATTCCCCATAGTACTCCTGAGGCTGAAAATGGAACACTCTGGCAAACATTCAAGGAAATAAAGTACAATTTGCCTTCTAACACACTGCATAAACACAAAATTGTTTACAGGCACTGTCATAAAGGCTTTATAATCTGAAAAGACAATTTAAAGTGAAAGGAAAACAATTAATTTTTCTTGCATTTTTATATTGATTGCCTCTCCCTCGCTTCTGGTCTTTTCTAGGTTTAGTTCACTATTTCATAGAATCATAGAACAGTTTGGGTTGGAAGGGACCTAAAATATCATCTAGTTCCAACCCCCTTGCCACGGGC